CTGCTTGCACTCATTTGAACAGTTGGATTTGGAACGAGAGCTTTTAAATGTCACCGCTGCTGGTTTGTGGCTGAGGAGGCAGCGCGCCATGGGCAGCCCAGCTCCTGTAGTAGTCCGCTATAAAATAAACGATCAACATGTTTTCTTTGGTAAATAAACATTTCCTACAAATAACCTCTGTCTTATATTAGCCAAAGTTTCTTCGTGTATTCGGCTCAAGATCAGAGCAACAGCCGGAGCAGGTGTGTGGCGTCCAGCGGAGAACAGAGGTGGGAGGTGGATGAAAGAAGAGTTCAGCTAGTGTGACACGACGGAACCTAAACATTGAATTTCTCTTCACACACGACCCACTTCTTTTTCTTCTTCTTCTTCTTCTTCTTCTTCTCTGGAGGACCATCTGAAAAAAGTAGTGAGTTTGTCCAGGGGAAAAGAAGGAGATGACTACCAACACTCTCCTCCTGCTCTTCATCCTGTCTCTCACAAGTAAGTTGTTTAATCGGCTAATAACATTTCTAAAGTATGAGTGTGATCTGATGCAAAGTATACAATGATATACAGTATAATACACTGTTTGGATGAAAGTTTCGACTCATATTTTTTTATATCCTTTAATCAGTTTCTGTGATTGAGACATTAACACCCCCCCCCCCCCCCCACACACACACACACACCCTCTGTTGGCCTGCTGAAGTCAGTGTGACCAGTGCAATAAGCTGCTAGAGAAGTGAAGTTGCGCTGAATGCAGTGTCCTGTAGATAATTATGCACAGCTCACATTAAAGGTGGCACTAGAGAATTTGATATTGACTTTTAATTAAATCCTGAGCTTTATTCCAAACCCCTCTTTGCTTCAAGCAGACAGGCTGAAGGAACTGGTCGTACAGGCTTTTAATTAAGATGCCACTAACCACTAAAGTTTATGTTCTCTGCAATGAAAGAACAGATGGGGTCTATGCTGCATGTGTTTAAATGTTCCAGTATTTGTAATACTCTTCTAGACTATATTCTTTGGCAATCAGAATGATATGAAAGAAAAATTGAACCTATCATAGCATAATCCTGAACATTTACATGTAGCCTAATTATTCATCTCATTTTATCACCCTATTATGGTTTGAACATTATTTCAAAGCCTTCTCCACATGCCAGGGACGTAATTATGCTACAAAAATAATTGAATTGAATTGTAATTACATTTCAGTTACTGTAATTAAGTTTTTGCCATGTAGCCTTAAATAAGTGTGTAATTTGTGTGTATTTGTAGGATATAAAATACTATCAAGGACAAATATGGAGGACATGACCTTGCGGTGCCCTCAGTGGCAGCTACAGTGTTGCTTAGTTATGTTTGGTATTCATGTTTTTCTATCATATTGTTTCTGTCATAACAGCATGAAGAGTGCTTGGTTGCAAAAGTCTCACATGATGAGCTACTGTTTGATCATGAATGTGAGTCCTAATAACCAAAAAAGAGAAACAAACCCAGAGGACCACCATGTTTCCCAAGAGTATGGGATGTGGTTTGTTTTTGTTGTGTCTCTGAGTTTTTGAATCAAAAGAAGTCACAATGTTGCTCACAACTTTCACCTCAGAGACAGGGTTTTAAAAACCGCGTGTGATGTCCGTTCTCTTAAAATACTTGTAAGTAAAAGCAGATGGGTTCTCTGAATAATTTACAGAAGGCTATTTTGTCTACCACAAAGAGAGAACCGTCTAGTGTCTTTTAGGCAGAACACTTGAATGTCTCCACCACAAGATGGGAGATTCCTTCTATTGACCTGACCTCTTGTCTCATGGATTGTTGAGTTTTCCATCTTTTACTGATGAAATTAAGCTTGTAGGCCAGGTGTTATCGTTAAGCTTGCTGGGCTTTAAAAAACAGTAATTGACAAGACAAAAAACTAAATCAGAGCCATCGTTGTTCATATCCGCTCCAAAAAAACAGCTGGAGTCTGACAAAGATCAGGTATGACAGGCAACATAGTCAAGCATTATTCTGCAGCATCCATCAGGGCAAAGATACCCTCAAGTCCAAGTCTAAATTATTTAAATGATGTAATCCACCAAGAGGGCACATAGCACTTCTCTGTGTCTTCCACCATGTTGTTGTGAGTGTTTGTGTTTCCCTGAAGGCTTGATGATTTGACCAGGCTTTGCACTATATATGCTATGATGTTTGGCACCACTCCTCAGTGACAGCCTCATTATTTTCACTAAAACTTTTGAAAAGCATAGAGATTAAAAACAAATGTGAGTACAGCCTGCATATGACAGCATCAGTGTTTTGGGTATTATTTTAAATGCAGGGCACTGAAATACTAACTGAAAATACTATACTATAATGTAAGACAGAGTCAACATGGGGCAGATACAGCCCACATACCTTGGACTTACTATAGCCTATAAGTGAGCTTTCAACCACATTTTCAATGCTTTGTCCTGACTGTAGTATAGTATCAAGAGGTTACTAGTCCAAGTCAAGAAACAGTCAGAGAAAAAAACCCACACCTCCCCATTACAGCAAATTGTCATTTTCTTTGGTTTTTGTTCAAATCAAACAAATGAGATAGAACATGTTAATTAGTGAGCTTTACATGTACTGTTAAGTGGATCTTCATATCTTTGAACAGAGCCAGGCTAGCTGTTTCCCCCGGTTTCTGAGCTAAGTTAACCAGAGAGTGACTGAGTGATCAGTCTTCTCATCTGACCTTTAACAATAAAGCAAAGTGTTTTTCCAAACTTTTGTACTATTCCTTTAATAATGTAATTTCGGTAGACTGTATAAAGATGGGCATAGCCTCCGCGATGTCACCTATACCCAATACTGTTTGTGAAGAACAGTTACAGTGCTGCAGGAATGAGTCCTAAATTCTTGAAATTACCTAGCATTTTAGCACTTCCGTTGTTAAATACTAACTCCCTTGTCCTGAAGTCAGTGGGTTTTTTGAATGGGGTTTTGGTTAGATGCTTAAATAAGTTGGTAAGTAGTTGCTAGTAGACTGCTAACAAGTGGCTATAGAGCTTGTCAGGGCCATTAACTGTCAAAACAAAACAACAACAAAACAAACTATTATTAACTTTGTAAGAGGAAATGCCTTTGTAGAAGAGGTAAGCGCTAGCTTCAAGTTGGAAGTTTAGCAGTGGTGACGTTGAAGTCATGCGACTGCGGTGTAGTTTGTTTATACCCTAATGTTAGCTTTTTACTTCTGACGATTGTATTTAGGCTTCAGAAATCATAAAAGTGTTGTTCATTTGTTAAGATTAAGTATCAAAAACTTTGGTTGGTCACAGAACTTTTTTCTGCAGTCAGCCAAAAGCCAATGTAAAAATCCCAGAGGCTTTTTGTCGAGGGGAACCAGGGTGATGCTAACTTAAAAATACGTCATCCCTGCTGCACTCCATGGAAGCTTAGAGTGGGCTGTTCCGCCATCGCCATCACTGCCTGACTCCGCCTATCTCCTGGCTAATACAAAACTGGGCAAAGAGTTGGAGTGGTGTGCAGCTGAAATGTCAGTGAATGCCGGTTTAGTAACTGTGGCAAGTATAGGCTCCTGTTTGCATCATTAGCACAGCTGGGCGTCTGAGCGTCTTACTCAAAGGCTAACCCAAGGCTAATTCATTTGCTAGCTAATTAGCTAGTTAACAAACTAAGCTAACAGGCGGTGAGTACAGACACCAATAGCTGCTAATTACTACTAACAGGTAAATGAAATTAAACTAGAATTTCACTCACATCAAAAAACAGGAGAACAGACTTCCTCACAATCTGTAGTTGGCCAAACTATCTGTCCGATATACAAATAAATACAAACATACAAACACGCAGACAGCTAGTGGCTAAACAGCCTTTGAGCAAGACGCCCAGATGCCTAGCTGTGCTAACGATGCTAAGTGGACAAAGTTAGTTAGTCTTGTATTTATACTATTCATATACTACAAACTGCACTGTAATTTGCAGACTGTAATGTAAAACAATACCACCCATTATCATAAAACAGGCCATTCTGCTACACTGGGGCCACTTCAGACGAAAGTTAAATGTCATTATCCATTAGGTTAACCTTTAATTTAACCAACACCCTTCTCTTACACAACTTGATTCCTCAGGTTATTACTTAATGGCAAATAATGTATACTCTATCTGCAGACTGAAGAGTTTTCATGTAGTTCTAATAGATTCTCTTCCCCCCGCCCCTTTCAAACTGCCGAAAACATCAGTGTTAACTGTGACATGAAAACTTGAAGCAGCAGGGTGCTGCTGACAAGAGAACATCTATGCTCACTCAGCCTTCCCTGCATGTAATCTTACAAAAACAGACAATTCATGTGGCACAGAGGGGGTGAAGCAGTCCTGATATTAAACGCTCTCTGTGCTGTTGTCAGTTTGTTTGACAATGTAGACATAATGGCTGCGGAAGCCAAGAGAGTGGGTCGAAAGCATTTTGCTTCTGACTTATTCATACGATCACTTTTACATAACCAATAATTTAGGGCTGAGGAAACACAAAGCTTCAGGGATCCTCTCACAGGGATGGATGCATGACTGGATTTTTGTTTGTTCTTTTGCTCTAAAACCCTGCAGTAAAGCGTGAGACTGCAAGACACACACACGCACACACTTACTGAGAACACATGATTCAGCCTTAATACCCTTTGGTAAATTAACTTCATTCACAGCCAACTTGTTTATTGTTCATCATTCATGATGACACTGGACTGAAAACATACTGTGACAGAGAGAATATCAAGCTCGGAGCTGCAGCACACGCATAGGCTGTGGTGACATTTTTGTATTCAGTGTAACACTGAAAGGGAAACACACTACCCCTTCTGCTATTAGTAACACGTGGCATTTATTTATACGTATGACATTTATGTTTGGCTGACTGACTGTGTTCTTTTCAAACAGAGCAGTACAGGTATGTTTTTAAGCATACATGCATCCTAAATGTACAGCTTCAAAAAATAGTGCATACTTGTGTTTCTCCTGTAGGCAGCAGGGCAGAGAATGCAGAGGAGCGTCTGGTGAACTACCTGTTGGGTCCAGAGCGCTACAATAAACTGATCAGACCAGCTGTCAATAAGAGCCAGCAAGTCACCATCTCCATACAAGTGTCTCTGTCTCAGCTTATCAGCGTAGTAAGTATATTGAAATACACAAATGCACACATTTGTATGCATGTACAAATACTGATCAATATGTATAAATAACCCTTGGGGCTTGGACACTAGCACTCATGGAGATAATATATCCACCATTTGATGTGATGATTGCAAACAATTAGGATTGATTGGTTTGTTAGTAGATATAAGAATTGTATATGAGCTGGAACAAGTTTTAACATCTCTCTGCAGCAAGACCCACAGTGCACAAACTATGCCTCTGCAAAACCTCTACCCACATCACCCACAGTTCACCCTGGGACCTTTTTTGTTTTGTTTAGATTTCTCACCTGAACCCGACAACTTGGATTCCCATCTTTTAAAGCCTCCAGCGACTCTTGTCCAGACTACTTTTTAAAGTCTTTTAGGGTCACCATCTACATGCAGGCTACCTATAAAAATTGCATCACATTTCTGCATAAACTTATGACAAACTCCTGTCGTAACATTTTAGACTTGCTAATTTGGCGTCCTGGTGGTCCTACAGACCCTACAGAGAAAGTATCATTGATATGCTTGATTGACAGCTCCGGCCCCGTCCTGTTAGTTTTGTTGCACCAGTTAGGGTAGGGCAATTTACACTGGTATCAATTTTACTAGTTCATAAAGGTTGGCGACATCATGTAAACCCAAGCATTGCTTCACCCAACAGACCTCTCTCACAGCAAACATTGTTACGAACATTTGCATATATTAAAGCAGTGTTGTCTTCTGTCGGTCTCCAAAGCCTTGTTTAAAAAAAGCTCTAACTGCGGGGTGTGAATGCTTTACTTAAACTTTTATAATTGTTGTGTTGTACCTGCTTCACTACAGTACAGTACTACAGAGTGGTCTCCCTTAAAAAAAACAGCTTCATAAATATTCAAAAGTGCTGAATAAATATTACATTATTATGTGTTATAATAAAAACTTTATAATAATGCGTCATACCGCCAGAGTACAAAAACATGCAGGTTAGAGGGACTGGTGACTTTCTATTGCCTATGGGTATGAATGAGTCTGAATCTGTTTGCCTGTCTCTTTGAGTTAGCCGTGTGATAGACAGGTGACCTGTCCAGGGCACCTCTGCAGTCTGTCCCTCTCCGTGGGATAGGCTGTAGCTTCCCCTCAGTCTCAGGACAAGTGATTTAGAAAATGGATGGAGAGATAATTTTTGGACTTTTGTTTGTTAGTTTTTTTTAAGTAATCCATCTCTGGATTATCCATGTTTTTGGAATATTGACTGCAACCTGTTATTCAGTGTGTGCCATGAACTCTTTGAACTAACACGCTTTAATTCACTTGAGCAAAGGCTTTCCAAGGCTGTGGCACACCAGTGTGCCAACAAACAAGACGTAAACAAGCTGTGGATGTATCAGAGGAATTTGAAACATCCATCACACTTTAGTCACTAAGTCTTCACCTCATTAAGTGGGCTTCTAAACATGATTTGCTATTTATTTTATGGTACAGATAATTGGATATATTTAGTCATATTACTTATTACAGTATTTTCTGTTACTCAGCCAAACTCAGTCAAAAGTGCTTTCCAGCAACTCCAAATCCACCACACACACATTCTCTATATTTAACACTTAGAAGCAGAAATCAGAGACATTGTGGTTTAACAGTCAGCCCACGGGTTGAGGGTATTTACCAGACAGAAGTGGGAGTAAGTCACACATGTGCAAGTCTCAAGCAAATCCCAAGTTACTATGGTGAGAAATCCCTGCTGTAAGTCAAGCAAGTCAAGTCAAGTCAATGCTCAGGTCAAGCAAGTCAAGCTATATGAGATTCTGATGATCAGCCCCAGTTTCCACATTTAAATCAGTTAAAAGACAGCGGTCATGAAAAGCTTAGTTTTACTTTAGTGTTAATGAAAACTGTTGCAGCTGCTTACAGCTTATATATCTTACTGATATTTGACATTTTGTGGCAATGTAGAGTCTGGATCTGTGACTGTAGCCACCCACTGCTGCAATTATTATTTTTAGTTTCATCATTATTATTATTACCTCTTCCAAATAAAAAATCCTGGATCCACTCCTTTAACTGGATCTGCACCAAAATTGAATGGGTTCCTTCCTGGCTCATGCCACATCCCTCCACCAATGTCAGTGCAAATCGGCAGTGGCAGCTTTGTGCATTAGCCTCTGCTGGCCTGTTGCATTATACTAGGTTGCCAGGTTTGTGGGCATCACATCTGCCAGAAATCACCCTCATGTTTGGAGTTACTGGAGGACGTCTCCCCTCTTGAAGCTAACCAGCAGGTAGCTACCAGTCCAACCAGTCCACTGAACACAGAGATGAAATTATTATCAGCCGTAATAACTACAATCACATTACTGTGTCACGTTGCTAAGTTACTATGACTTCACAAGACAACTTGACTCAAAATTCCTTGTGAAGCATTTCATTGGACATATTTAAAATCCGGAATAACTCAAAACACTGCGATATAATGTGTTATATTCTCTAACTCTTGACCACACATATCTGCTAACAGTGGACACAAAAACTGGTGTTGGAAGGGATGTCATTTTGTCCAAAACTGCCTTTGATACTGTGTCCACCCCCTAAAGGTGTGCTTTCATATTTGGGTTGACCATGTGTGTGTCTCGCCCAAACCACCACCACAAGACAACATTATAATAATACAGCTATTTATATTGTTAAGTAAAATATTATGGGAATTATGCACGATGTCTGACAAGCTGACTGATGTTTTCTTGCAGAATGAGAGAGAGCAAATAATGACGACCAACTTATGGCTGTTTCAGGTACAGTATAGTCTTTGTCACTGCTGAGTGCACCTCATTATACAGTTTGTACAGTATGTGGACGTGTTTGTCAGTCAATCACCGCGTTTGTCAGGAGCTTATGAAACCTCTGTCCACAGGAGTGGAATGACTACAGGCTGAGATGGGACCCAGAGAAGTATGAAGGCATCAAGAAACTACGGATACCATCCAAACACATCTGGCTTCCTGATATAGTGCTCTACAATAAGTAAGTACATGCATGTCGCGCCACAAAGAGAAGACCAATTTGTTAGTATTTGATTTAGCTGCTATTTTATAGTCAGTGGAATGAAAAAATACAAATACATTAACAGCCTGTGTGTATGTGACCTTGTATTAATGGATTACAGTATGCTATTAATGGAGTTTCAGTATATCATTCTACAGCATTAAGAGGTTTTCAGACATTACCATCCAGGCTTTACAAGAAGAAAATCTATGAATAAAATAAGCCTGTTTTTTTCTACAGGGAAAAATGTTCTGTATTCTCTCCTTTAATTTTTCCAAACCTGTTTTTGCTGAGGTGCAGGGGATTAGTGAATAATCTGTTTATTATCACTTTAGCCAATCACAAGGGAGCACTTAGGTTTGTCTGATTATTAATCACTGCAAAAAAGGGGGAAGAGCTTCAGAGCTCAGATATATCTTATTTAAAGGAGTAGTTTGACATTTCGGGAGACATGCTTATTCACTTCCTTGCTGAGAGTTAGATGAAAAGATTGATGCCACTCACATGTCTGTCTGTTCAATATGTAGCTGGAGCCAGGAGATGGTTAGTTTATCTTAGCACAAAGACTGGAAGTGAAGGGAAACAACTAGCATGACTCCTCCGAAGGTGAAAAAACCCACCTACCAGCAGCTCTAAAGTTCACTGATTAACACATTAGGACAAGTTGTAGCTAAAGTCTCCTCTCATTTAACTCTTTGCAGGAAAGCTAATAAATGTGAGTATATTAAAAGTGACTCAATACTCTCTTTAATCTTACATCTTCTCCAAACCTGTCACAGCGCTGATGGTGTGTACGAAGTTTCCTTCTATTGCAACGCCGTAGTCTCCAACACAGGGGACATTTTTTGGCTCCCCCCAGCAATCTACAAGTCGGCCTGCGCCATCGAGGTGCAGAACTTCCCCTTTGACCAGCAGAACTGCACTCTCAAGTTCCGCTCCTGGACCTACGACCACACAGAGGTGGACCTGATCCTCACCAGCGACTTCGCCAGTCGTGATGACTTCACGCCTAGCGGAGAGTGGGACATCGTGTCGCTCCCGGCACGCAAAAATGAGGACCCCAACGACATCACCTACCTGGATATCACCTACGATTTTGTTATCCAGAGGAAGCCGCTTTTTTATACCATTAACCTGATCATCCCGTGTGTGCTGATCACATCGCTGGCTATCCTGGTTTTCTACCTGCCGTCGGACTGTGGGGAGAAGATGACGCTGTGTATATCGGTGCTGCTGGCCCTCACTGTGTTCCTGCTGCTGATATCAAAGATAGTGCCACCCACCTCTCTGGCAGTGCCACTCATCGGTCAGTCGTATTTGTGTTTGTTTGTATGCACCTGTGTGTAGAGTGGAGAAGATTAGAGATGTGAAACTTTCAGAATAACCTACAGATTATTCTAGCATTTTTAGAAAATAAATTAATAGGAAAACCTGAACCTGAAGCCAAAACTTTGTTGAGGTCTTAAGTATGATAAAACTTTCAGTGAACCCATTGTCAGTCAACATAATAACACACAAATAACTTTTTGACCTCTTTATCAAAGACACTTTTCAAGAATTAATTCATTCAAGAAGCAAAAGAAGAAAGACAAGGTCAAAACCTAGTATAGCTATGGCTGGACCACATATGGTCAATGTGCAAAACTGAGGACGTCAGCCTTGTGTCAGCTGGTTTCAGCTCTTTCTCTCCTACTCTCTGTGCTCTCATATACAGTATTTTAATACAGCTGCATTTCCAATGAAGCTTTTCTCATTTACTTGTTTTTTCTGTTTCTGTTGTCAGACAACGGAACAAGTATGAAATAGTGACTGAATCGTGGCCCATTAAGACTACATGTTAACTTTCAAGCCATTTCCAAGCTGCTGCTAAAATCCTGATTTTATAACTGCAAAACTGTGTGACAAAATCATCATACACATACATTAAAGACAAAGACTGTGCAGTGATTTCAACTATATTTACTTTTAATATTATCAGTCAGAGAGAAAGTTAGAAGTGACAGAATATCTTTTTGCTGCATTCTCTTTTAAGTAGACAAGGTTTTTGTCAGAAAGTCACTAGATTTGTCGCTAGGTGCTTTTTCTAAATGTAGCAACAAATGCACTAAGTTGGCAACACTACAGGCTTTAAATGCTCCCCTAACAGTTTGTGCCAATTTATTGTGAAAGAGAAACAGCCAATGTGGAAACTCCAACTCAGTTACGTGGCATCCAGCTGGCCAGTGGTGGAACTATGATCACCCAACTCTGTCACTCAGTCAGTCAGTCAGTCACAGACATTCGCAATTATGGGGCTGGTTCTGCTGTTGCAGTCCCAAGGGCCATAATCTCTTTCTGCCCAGGTAGGCTTTTAATGTGAAACATGCCGGAAGTGTTGAGCATTAGAAACTTAACATCAATCAAAAAAAAGGCAAAGCAGAAATGACTGTAATGCTCAGTAAATGAAAACAGTATTTCTGTAAATATTAGAGAATATGACACGATTCTGTTGTTGCACTGATGAAATTAGTGCTGTGGAAATGTATTTACAAAAAAGTTATCCTTACAGCATCTTCATTAAAGTCTGGTCTTTATTTGACCTGCTGCTGGCTATTATGTGAGACTCAGCCATTATTTGAACGCTGAAAAACAAACCACTGCAACCTGAGAGCAGTGCGATTAAAGGCAGGAGAAATATTTATTTGCTCATCTCGTCTTTTCCTTCTCTATCTGTCACTCTCTCTTAGGTAAATACCTGATGTTCACCATGGTGCTGGTCACTTTCTCCATTGTAAGCACCGTCTGCGTCCTCAACGTGCACCATCGCTCCCCGTCCACCCACCACATGCCCGACTGGGTCAAACGTCTCTTCTTAGTCCGACTGCCCACGTTCCTCCTCATGAGGCGCCCGGGCTCTTCCAACGTCCGCGATAAACTCCGCCGGAAGTACGCCAACCGGGGTACCATGGGGAAAACCAACTCCCAGAGCTGCACAGAGAGGAAGCAGTACTCTAACATCAGGCTCGGCGGGATCCGAACAGACAGCGACGCTATCTACGTGAACGAGGACTTGGCCCACAAGTTTTGCTGGAAGGTGGGCGACATCCCAGATGGGGGTGGTGGATTTTCGGACTTCCGGAGGCCTTTGGCTGCTCAAGGGGATGCGGAGCTGGAGGAAGCAGTGGATGGAGTGAGATACATCGCTGAACACATGAAGACAGAAGACGATGATGAAGGGGTGAGAAGATAAAAACTGGTAAAAGAAATCTGTGATGAGCAGGAACAGATAGTATCAAAGAATTTAAAAAAAATAGGAAAGAGAGAATATATTTTCGAATGGAATGGGGGAAGATAAAACACACAAAAGTAGATTATGGCGATGGATGATGACAAAGATGCAACAGGGAGGAATGAGAAGATTACACCAAATGCAGAGGTTATCAGGGCAAGATGAGACATGGAACATGCCACATCTTAAATCGTTTGGTATTTGCTTTTGTTCCCTTGTGGTATTATTCCAAATTGTCTATCATCTCCCTTTCCCTGAAAACATCAGATATCCTCAGACAACCCTACACACACTTACACACACAACACAAACCTACTGAACACAGCACTAACCCTAACCTCCAGATTTGTGGCCGTGAGCTTCTAAACTTCCGCAAAACTCCCTCACTTAATAAATATTACAAACAAGTTTTGCAGCTGTAATTGCTCATGGCAGATTTTTCATGAAGCCGCTTCTCTTCCTCTCAGTATCAGCCTGCCGCAGTGCAGTTAAAAATATAACCTGATACGTATTCAGTGTCCTAGAAGCTTCAGTGCCACAACAGCAGTTAATAAAACACTTCTTCTTACATGCAAAACTTCCCAAATGTGTGCTCATGTGTTTTCCCACACACACACATATTATATAATATATATAGTTCAACTTGTTGGTTTGATTCCAGATCATAGAGGACTGGAAGTACGTGGCCATGGTGATAGACCGTCTGTTCCTGTGGATCTTCATCCTGGTGTGTGTGGTGGGAACACTGGGGCTCTTCATGCAGCCGCTCTTCCAGAGCTATAACACCCCCACTGCTGATGACACTGAGTGAGTAACACACTGAAGCACACAGTTACATACATCACAAATTGCCTGACACAGACTCTTATTTAAATGTCGAAGACTTAGCCCATGCACACTTTACAACATTTTGTTTGGCAGCACACACAATGAGTTTGTAACTAAAGTGTTTCACCAGTAGAATTGCACACTTTTCCTTGTCTGTTATTCTCTCAGTTGTCTCCCAAGTGTGACAAAGTCATGGTCTTTGTGTAGCCATGGTCAGCGTGGAGAACTGGTTTTGAATCAAAGCAGCTCCAAATTTGTAGGAAATTTGTTATGAATTTGGCCAAACTGTAGTGAGCACCTATGTAATCAACTCAGTTAGCAGAATTCAAAATGAAATTCTTAACAGTGGTTGGACAGTGGGAAATTTTAACTCTGAAGCAGAAGTCAAACTGCATCAAGCAGAGGAACGTGTTTTTTTATCTGTAGTGATGTTTCCTTTTCTTGCTAAAATAAAATGTAACAAATCAAATACATTCATAAGAATAGGAATCAGTAAGTACTGACCAAGTGTAAACTTCACCCAACCCCATAGTATTCAATTCTGTTCATGCTAACAACTTAGACATGTTTCTTCATTTCAAACAAAGTGACTTGATATTCCAGGACCTACTTACAGTAAAACCAGATGTTTCGGTCAGTTACTTTAAATGAACTGAGTATGAGAATGGCAACTAATGTATATAAAAATGTCTTAACTTATATTTACCATATTGTGCTTTTATTTCCATAGGTATGGAGATTTCTAGAAAACAACTGAAAAATCATCTCTCGTAGGAACTTTAACTGAGAACCCACACCAGGTCTGGCTCTAATCTGACTCTGCTGGACATAACCAGCCTAATCAATGCAGCCAGCTGCACTGGTTGTGTTCGCAGCACTGGACCTCAAACAAAAACATACCGGATCACCTTTTCTTTTCTTTTTTTTTTTTTTTTACTGCATGGCTTTTATTTTTGCCGGACTATGCATCCATCGAAGCTCCACCATCGTCACAGGCATGACAATCCTCATTTTAACCTTTAACTTCTAACAAGATGATGTTATCATCGAGCAAATATAAGGCCTGTGCACAGTTTCTGACACAACATACAAGTTGCAGAGTATTTCCCCCCAGTGTTTAACTCTCACAGTGTACAGAACAAACCACTAAAGTACTGGTAATTTCTTATCCTGTAAGACCGTGAGGCCTGCCCTCCTCTGCAGTGTTGTTAATGTGAAAAATAAGACTTTATAAGACATTATACCAGTTGTTCATGTTGCTACAGAACAATGGACCATATTTTCTCTGTCTCTCCACTTCTAAAACCAAGCTCTATTATAACAAAGTGAGGATTCTTTGTCCTATCCACCTTTTCTCTTCATAAAAATATTAATGCACCATCTCTCTCATCTCATCTCCTTTTCTTGTTCTGCTTCAGAGCTTTGTGCCTCATCTCCACCATCCATCTCCCAAGCAGCGTGTTGTAACCGTTAATGCATTGTATCATTTTGAAGAATGTGTGTTCTTCTCTTGCTTTCTCTTTTTGTCTCCCTCTCTCTCTCTCTCTCTCTCTCTCTCTCTCTCTCTCTCTCTCTCTCTCTCTCTCTCTCGCTCTCTCACTTGCTTTGTTATTCTCTTATTTTTCCCTCAAGACTGCTAAAAGAAAACTAGTGCTAAAATGAGAAATGACAAAATGGACGTAAAAGATGGAAGAGGTCTTGAAAAGATGGATGAAATTCAAAACAACTGTGACAAACTGATTCCTTTGCAGTTCATACATATATATATATATATATATATATATATATAACATATGAACACTTTTTTTTCCATCACTATTTGGAACTATTGGCTTTTGGTCCTCACTTTTACAGCTGCCTTAAACTGTTGCTGAATATCCTGACAGATGATTAAAGTAAGATGAAAGTGAAGTGGAGCAGCATCAGGCTACATACGTATAACTAATGACTTTCACACTGACTGTACTCTAATACAATATGTTGAATAAAAAGCTGTGAATTTTATGATTGGCCGTTGCTTTTCCCTCATTCATTGTTATTTCTTTGCCCCTTTCACAGCAGACGTGTCACAGTACGAGAAGCACAGGTTTAAATAATAAAATTAATGACAAAACTGCTTTTGGTTTTGGGGTCCTGGTGTTGCTATCATTAAAAAGGCCTAGAGAAAGTAGTTCGCGCTTACGCTTTGCTTTTTTCATTCTTTTCACAACTATTTGTGGCACTTTTTGTGCAAACAACTGAGTGCGATGCAACTATGAGTGCTTTCCAGGAGAGACTGTAGACGTTGATGCTGTATCAGGTATAAACCTTCAGTATGAGCTAGTTCTTTTCTAGCATAACCAAGTCTAGACAGTCTAAATAATTTGTGCACAAATTTTATTTTATTCACACTTCCTCAAAACATGCATGTACCACCACAGGTCTTTGCAAAGTTCACATGTGCACAAACCTTTTTTGTTTGAGCATCATTTCACAAGTGTAGACCCTGTCCACCTATCATACCTGAGGGGGAGTTTGTATAGGATGTGATTCAGCAGCGTGTCTAGATGTACACTGAGCTGAACACTGACAGCAGGAGTTCTGAGGGTGAATACGGTTGAACCGCTCTAAGTCAGAGAGACGAGGGAGGAGCTATCAGTGGAAGAGAAAGCAGTTTATGGCTTTAGTGGATGGGATAACTGACACTCTGCAAACACTCAGGCTGAGTCCTGACAGCCTGGGATAAAAGAAGGTGTTCAGTATGTGGAGCGGGGCAGACAGAGTCAGTAGAAAGTGGTATAAGTATTTTTATACTTTTCAGACATAATGACACTAATGTGTCATCTGTGGCATGTGTTTCATGTGGATGACCTCAAATACATTTTGAACATTTGATCAAACACCATAGAGGAAAGCATTCAAGCAATTGTGTGTGTTTTGTGCATGTGTGTGCGTGCGGTCTTGTGAATGTGTGTAAAGGCTGCTCTGCCTGAGGAATACATATTCAGATAACAAGCATTTGTCCTGCGTAAAATTTGATTATTGTTCATCAGTGAGATTGATGAGATAAAATTAACCAGTGACAATTTATGGAGACAGTTTCTTTTTGTGAGTGTACACACACACACACACACACACACACATACTTGACTTGAGTTAAAATCCTTTTTAAGCCTTAGCTCTGGTCAGTGGATCTATGTGAAGTGGAAAAAGGTTCAGTCCACGTGCAGGGTCACATCTTGTTAATGGACATTCTGGTCGTTGTGTCTCTGTGTGTGTGTGTGTGTGTGTGTGTGTGTAGAGCCTCCTTCCTCCTGACAAAAGAGGAAATGTGTTCAACAGCACTAATGCGCTTTTGTTCCACTGAGGATGAGTGTGTGTGTGTGTGTGTGTGTGTGTGTGTGTGTGTGTGTGTGAGTCTGTTTGTGAGTGCATATGCCCCAATTTGTGAACTCCATCTGCCAACAGAAAGGTAATATCAGGTGAAAACAACATCACCTTCTAACTGTCAGTGGTCTGTGAAGACAGAGCACACTGTTACTTTTTATGTACTATTGCATGAATGAACACGCACATATAATAGACTATGATAAGATTTAACTGGCCCAAATCCTTTAACTCAGCAAAAGTGAAGCACTGATTCCTGAAGTCAGCACATCTGCAAAAATACTATGGGGCTGTGCCGTGGCGGACAGCTATTGACACAACGCATATTTACTGTGACCCCCCCTGCGTATGTGTGTGTGTGTGTGTGTGTGTGTGATATTTACCACATGTCCCAACCTATAAATATGAGGTTGACTGGAGCATAAAGGTGACAGATGTGATGCTGGTGTGTCTGGGGGAAAGGCAGAGCAGGCCAGCTGTCATACTGTGGTATTAGAACGTGTAATGTAATGTAATGTTATTGTGCGCAACTTAGCTCACACATCAGGAACACATTACCAAGGTGACGTAACTGCAAACATGAGGTGCCTTTGAATTTGTATATTATTTGTATTTGTATACATTGAATTTGTATAAAGTATTTCACCCATGTAAACAAACATTATTACACTTTTAATACGTAGGTAACTCTGCAGTACAATGGACACATAAAAAATTGAAATATGTTAAGCTACATATTTTATAACACATGTTAAATCAATTCATATGAGAAGAATCCTGTTGGTTGTTGTTGCTTGACTGTACTGTGTTGCAGGAATGCTAAAAACATTAACAATCTTACTCACAAACAAATCAAAGCAAAGCTTGCAAATGCATTCCTTAAATGATGCAAATAATTATTTATTATACACTTGTATAATATGGCGGAACAGTGGGGTGCCTCTACCCAAGGATGTACTTCTGCAGTTTCCAGGGGGTACATAGAAAGACTGTGAAGTAAAACGGTTACAACTATTAAACAATTATAAATTACGATTTGAAGAAAACATACATATTCATATTCCGTGTTAACTAAACAGGCGTTGGAATAAAGGGTGTGTGAAAACTAAATGAGCAGAGAAGTCTCAACAGAAAGCTAAAAGTAATACATAACCAGTTCAAATAGTTATCAGGAAGCTATTTAAAGGTACCCTATTGAAATAGCTAAAAATAATGAATTAACAGTTGACATTGTTGGTTAAAAGTAAAGGATAAATGATTAAAATAGTTATAGCTGATATCTGAATTTATCAAATAGACTGCTAAAAGTAACAGATATACATTTCATAAAGTTAATTAAAAATAAACAGTTGAAATTAAACAGTTCAATTAGTTATCTCAAGATAAGTGGTTAAAGTAGTCAGTGTAATGTGATGTATAACTGGCTAAAATAGTAATAGATAAGTGATTGAAATAGTTATAGCTAATGTATGAATGCATAAAACAGATAATCGGAAGTAACAAATAAACAATTGAGATTGTTATTTTAAACTGATAAATTGTTATAATAGCTAAATAAAAATGTTCAAGTTTTGTAAAAGCAAATTACCACTAGCAGCATAATTTTTGACCTAACAA